CAATGCACGTGAGAGAAAGTTTTAGAGGGAATCAAATAGGGTATACCTGTTAATTTGTCTGTCGCGTTCTCGTCCAACTTTGGTGGTTCATCCTACACTTGGTCATCAGGAATAGGCAAGTCTTCTTTTCCTTTTTCTTTATTAGAGGGACCAGCAATCGAAGTGATTGCTTTCTTAGGGGGGTTTGTTTTTTAAGTGGCATTTTTTCTTGATTATGCTTGGTTTGGGAGAAGCCTTGGGGTTAGGTCTTGAAAAGATTAGAGTTTTTATTCTATCTTATGAACTCTTGACTTCAGCCAAGGTCTATGCGGGTTTTGGAGTAGCCTAAAAAGGTTGATTTGGTAAGTTTGCCTAATCATCAAAAACCACCAAACAGGAAATCAGATACATAAATGTGCCAAGGTAATCTTTTTGGACTTCTTTTTCTTGATTTTTGTGGTTGTTGGAGAGTCTAGATCACATTTTCGATTCTGAAAGGAAAAATATGTTAGGGTCATCTCGATATTAGCTAATGTCCAAATGGAAAAAGACTTGCCTTTTTCTTTTGGGCATATTCATCTTTCTTAGCTTCACCCGCGTCAGAAGGGCCTTCGACATTGGTGTTGCCATTTGCTTCAATTTCACCTACAATCAAAACGTGTGAGAATTCGAAGGGTATGACAAAAGAATTAGAATAAATGGTTAGTATATACCTTTTTTTTCTTCGAATTCTCTTGTAAGTTGGAAAACGCGGTCGGCAATCTCTTGCGGAAGTTCTGTTCAAAGAAGTTGCCTTACAAGTAGCTCGTCCACCAATTATTAAATTCCACTATCATATAGAAGGACGGCTGAAAGTGCAAAGTAGGCAGTTCAAGAACTTATTGACGAGTGAACGTCAAGCAGTCTATGTATTCATGAGCAGTAAACTTTGTCTCCGATCAGCAAGTGCCATTCTCCCAAATTGGTTGAAACCAAATTGTCTTGCCACTAAGTTGGGTTGGTAACCAATGAAGCCGAAGTCAGCAGTCCCACTGGGCATATGCCAATTTGTTTACTCTGAAATTTAGTAAACATAAACAAGTTTTATTTCACTAAAGGAATTAAACTCAAAAAGATCCCAGGACATACTTGTGTGAAAATCATAAGTTTTAAATAAACTTAGCATCAAAATTGAAATGAAAAAGAAACTTAAAAAATAATCATTAAAATTAACTTCAATGCAGTAAATGACTTTAAAATAGAGACTTTAATTTGCAAAAATGGAATGCATATATGTGCATTCTTGACTTTTTCTCACAAACAAACTAATACTTTGAGTTTTACATAATTTGTGTACAATTGTGGATCCTTAAATCATAAGTGAATGCTTACTTATATACTAGTCCTAAGTTAACTGTCTACAACGACCGACTAAGCAAAATATGTCACACCTTCGTCTCCATGCAGCCTTCGCTTTCGACAAGTTTCCTTGGGTCCTCAAATAATTGTATGATCTTATCTACTTACACCTGACTCGACTGCTTTTGGAAAATAAACATTTTGGGTACTCTGAATTTCACTAAGTCTCAAAACCAATAAACTCCTTGGTCTCTAACTGATTGCAATTCAAGCAAAGTTGATACTACTTCTCGATAAATCAAATACGTCGAGATATCCATGGTCATAACTGACCACTTCAGTTTTTTGACTAAACGTATTATCACATGAACCTTATCACATCTTTATAATTAATTATTGTGTCGAAAATTTGAGGTAACAATTTTCCCCCAAAATTTCATGTTTCGATTTTGAATCAAAATGAGAAAGGTGACAGTTTTGAAAAGTATTTTTGACGTTGTTTAAACTCTTGCGCTGACGTCATCATCATCATTACCACTTTAATGCATATTGTCATTTTCTAGAAGATCTTCTCAGAAATTCATCATTACTCCCATTTTCTATGAGATCATGGATTTGCATGTTTCACTAACTGCTCCACTTCTATGAACTTTCCCACTTCTTGAGAAATGAAGCGTTTCACATTAACACGCGTGTTCCATGTGTCCTTCATTTACAAGAAAAATGATTATATAAATACTTCCTTCTTATTCTCTTCTCACATTCTTCACTTTCGTTTTAGCATTTCACACATAAAAAACCCTTTTGCAACAAACTTTTTAAACTTAACAATGACAACAAACACTTCATCTTCCAAATTTGATATTGGGAAAAATCCTTTGGTGATCACGATTCTGCCATCAGAGGATGAACAAGGAAGAGATTTTGTACCTTAACCACCAATACCCAAAGAAAAAACCATCATCCAGACTAATCAGATATTCATTCATTTCTCCCTTTCTGACAAACTTTTCGCATTCTTAGAAACATATTTGACTGCTGAGTCACAACCTGGGAAGGTGGAAATTTCCTTCCCATGCTATCTCGTCTCCATTCCCTTAATGTTTGAAGAACACTCTCTCAACGTGTCTTTTATAAGTTTACTTAAATCTCCACATTCCTAACTAATGTGGGACTTTTCCACACTATTTGCACTTATGATTCTTTTTTAACACTTTTTTATTTGGCTTGCTATGACTAAAATTTAATTTTTTTTCTATTGCTATCTCCTCCAACAGACCTTCAAACCAATAAACTCTCCAACAAATTCATGTAAAAGAAATACAAAAACACAAATTGAAAAACCTTCTTGTTCACTACGAATGACACTATATATCTCCTCAAATCGATAAATCAATGTTATTCATATGCACTTAAGAACTTAAGTGTTGAATTTATCTTGAACTACGACATTGGTCTATTAATTTCAAGATCCAATTCATAATATTTTAACTTAAGGAAATGAAAGTGCTAATTTTGGGGGTTTTCTGGTTTTCTTGTTGGAAAAAGGGTCTTAAAAATTAATTATACATCAATCTTTTTGTCATAATAAATTAAGTTTTGTGTGTTTGGAAAGAAAGTTTTAAGTTAGAAAAAATTAATTTTTTTAACTTTAAAATTTACAAACTATTTGTATTAAATAAAAAATAAAAAAAATTATTAATTTAAATATTACTTAACTAATTTAATTATAATTAGTAATAATATTAAAATATTTTATTTAATTTTTTAATGATGCAATAAATATTGTGTGTGATGTGGCACTACATAATAAGGCCATGTCAGCACCACGTCAAAAAATAAGTTTCAAATATACAATTTCATTATGATATTTTTTAAAAGGCATTCGTTTATTAAAAATTCATAATTTTCAATATATATTTATAAACAATTAATCGATGGATTTGATGATTTGTTAAAATTAAAAGATAATCAAATTGAATTTCTAATTTTTAAAAATAAAATAATAAATTAATAGATTATTTTTATCCTTATTTTTTTCTTAATTCAGATATTTTGTTACCCTGTACTGTAGTAGTTGAGTGGGATGCTATTAATTTTCATTGATGTTCCTGACTTGAAGAACAAGTTAATTAATGTCACAAACTACTAGTACAAAAATGGCACCAATTATGAGTTCCTTCAATTTGGTCAATTTATCAACCGATTGACCTCAGACTTAAGAGACCCTTTCATTACTTAAAGGGCCATTTTTTCCGACCCGGCTCTAACCAACATCAGAATCTGTTCCAAAATCTTCAAAAGGAAGATTATGGATAGTGGCTTTTACTATTAATTACTATTATTAAGAAAAACTTTTCAGAATTTACTTATATTAGTTCAGATTTATCAATAAAATATAAAAATATCTCTCATTCCTAGGTAGTAACGGATTCTAAAAGTGATTTCATATTTAAACTTTAAGAAAAAATAATACTAACTTTTATCTTCTTGTCAAAAACAAAAACAAAAATTCATAAACCAAATCCCTAAAATTAATATTTTGAATTTTTTAAATAAATAAAGTATCTTTAAATATTCAAAGAATAAATATTCAATAATATTTTTAATTGATATTATAATATTTTACTATATTTTGTACCTTTTTATTATTTTTTCATAAACTTTGAAAAAAATTGATTAGATATCTTGAATTTTTAAACAAATATTTCTTATAGTATTAATTAAATCCAAATTAATATTATTTATTTTATATTTATTACTTCTTAATCATATAATGTTTTCTCTCCTTCAAGGTTCTATCATTTTTCTATCCCGTTCCATACCATATGGATGTCATATTCCATAATACTGTTCACCGCCATTCATCATTCCATTACATCCAAACTCCAACATCATCATGAGTCATTATCAATAAAAACAATAAATTGTTTATCTTATAATTTCATCCAAATCCATATCCTCTTCCTGCAAAAATCAAACACCCAAATTAAACATTCAATATTTAAATATAAACACCACTAAATATAAAATAACTCCAACAATATATAAAAATACTTTTTTTGTAAAAGTAAATATAATTAAACAAAACAAAAGAAAACCGAATACGCATCTCTAATCAAATAAAATAGGAAAACTCAACTACACAAAAATTAAAAAACAAAAAATACCAAGCATATAAAAAAAAAAAAGAAAAATACGAACAATTATTGAAGAACACATACGAAAATCACAAGTACACGCACACGACGAAGGATTAAACGGAAAATTTCAAGACTAACGTTACGTCTTAATAAGGAAAAAATAGATTAAAAAAAGAGACAAAAACGCAAAAAGATGAAAGGAAAGTGCTATGGAACTGAAACTTAAGAACAACGCAGTTAAAGATTAAACTCAACATCATATTAAAAAGTTTGACTGAATTTCTATTGATAATTAATTATATTAAATTTTTAATGGAAAATTGTTTTTCATGAAATTAGGTCCAGAAGCTCCAAAAACGGCCATCAATGGCTGCCATTCATATATATGTACACAAACAAAGAGATATGAAGCACATAATCACTTCTCGTTTGATTTTCAAAATCGCTTGCAAAGCCGTTAGATCTATTCATCTGAAGCGAATTCGCGAGATCTGGCACTTCCTTCAGCGGTGGCCGGAAAGCTACTGTCAAACGGCGATTTCATGAATCTTCAGCTTTAGTCATAACAGAGAGCCTACTCGGTCTCGGATGAAAATCCCCTCTCCTTTTCTGCTGATGCGACGAAGGCCGAATCAACGCCGCAAGCGCTCTCTTCACGAGATCTCCTTCAACGCCGCGAATTCTCACTAACGAATTCGTCATGGCGGATCTACGCGCGTTGAGGCGATTCTGCGAATACGGCGTAACGGAGGCGCGTGAGGTAAAGCCTTTGTGGAGACTACACCGGAACGAACCGGGATGCGTCGTAGGCGAACACATGCAAGTTCGCTTCGGTTGGCTACTACTCTGTTTCTTGCCGCCGGTTCGAGGTACGGCCGAGATAGACCGGTTTGGGGAAATCGAACGGTCTAGTGAAAACCGAACCGATGAAGACGATACAGACGGTGATGAGTATACACTGACACGAGTCGGAGAGGTGGAGCCTCTGAAGAAGGTTGTAGGACGAGAGGTGAAACTTGAGGAGGAAGACGCGAAAGCTGAGGAAGAATAGTGAGAAGGTGATTGTTCAGTGTTGGAGAACCTCGGTGAAGGTGAAAGGGATCGAAGTACAGTGGTTCTTGATTTTCTAGAAGGTGCCGCCATTTTTTAAGCTCGGAGAAGAGTGAGAGAAAGAAGAAAGTGTTTTTCTTTTTCTTTTCCTTTTGTTTTTCCCTAAAGGTGGGTTTGGGTTTCTGGTTTGGCAAACCTAGCTTTACTCGAGCTATGTATATATAGGATTTTGAAGAAGGTGGAATGTGTGTGGGTGCGCACTGTAGTGTGTGGGGTTAGATTCGTGATATTTTCTTTTTCTGCTTGGTATTTTTATTTTGTGGAATTACGTTGGTGGCCCCAAGAATCTTTTTATTTTATTTTACTGATTTGCTTGATATTCTCTGCTCAACTTTTTTTTTTAATTTTAAAAAACTGTTTTAAATTAAGTAAAAATTTAACACAATATCTTATAATAACCAAAAAAAATGTAGTTGGTAAGAAAATTGAAAAAAAGAAAGATAAACTATAAACTCAAAAACTCTATTTAAAATAATTAAATAAAAAATATTACTACAAAATATTTTTATAAAATTATAAGTTTGTAAGAAAATAATGAGTACTAAACAATTCCATTGTGCTCTTATAAATTTGTTTTGTAATCTAATTATATTTTGGAAAGTATTGTTTAAATAAACAAGTTTTTTGTATAAAAGTTAAAATTGGTCAAAAGATTTCATATATCTAATCTAAATTTAGTATAAATTTATTCAGTTAATTTGACTAACTTTTATAAGCTATTAAAATCATTAAATCAATATCATCCTACTTTTAACCGAAAATCAAAAATAATATCCTAATAAGAATAATTTGATTATGAATAAGTATATTTTTACTTAATAAAAATGTTTGAATTTTGTATTAAATAAAAAGAAGGAAAAAAAAAGTAAAAGAAAAGAAAAGGAAATGCATGTGAAATACACTGTATTTAAAAGATAAGACTGGGACCAGTCAAAGAAAAAAAATAACTGGGACTACAGAAGAAATAAAATAACTGGGACTACAGAAGAAATAAAATAAGGGCAAGGATGGAAAAGCAAATATGAAAATTGTTGGATAAAGATTGCAGTGGTGGGGTAGGCACAACAGAAAATAGAGAGTTTAACCAGAGGTTGGGTTAGTTAACCTTAAAGGAGGATGTTGAGCCCTCTGAATTGTAATCCAACGGCATTCTGTTTCACAAAGCTGTGTGCTGCCCATAATATTACTAAACGACATCAAGATACAACCGTTTCAAATCCATTTTTCTTTGCAGGTCGCCTCCTTTTTCATAAAGGTGTACTAAGATTCTCTCTCTTAAACTTAATAGTCTCTCCATTTTTTATTAAAAATAGTTTTTCACTTTTCATACATATTAAAAAAAATAATAATAATTATAATATAAAAAGAAAAATTAGAGAATTTTATAAAATTGTCCATTATTAATGATATTGAAAAGACAAATTTACCTAATTGAAAGAAAAGAGAATAATAAATATTTAAAAGTAGAAAAAATAACATTAATTATTTATTGATATTATAAAATAGTTTATTATTCTCTTTTCTTTTAATCATGTAATTGGAAACTGAACACATTAAGTACCTATTTAGTTGTACCATTTAGAGTTGGTGATAAAGCTGAAGTTGTATTGTCAAATCAGTTTATCAGTTAGAGGCTACAGATTGCAAAGCTCAAGAAAGGTTGGGATGCTTTATCGATAACTACTCTAAACGACTATAATAGTACAGAATCTCTTTAAGACTCAAAAGTTGAATATGTTACACATTGGATTAAGATCTTCTGGTGCATCTATCTTCAACGGTTCTTGCATTATGGAGTAACAGCAAAGACTCCTGATCAAGTTACCTCTTCAACGGCTAATTTTTGAAAAGGCTATAAATATGGCTGAAGGTTCAAACTGAATCTTTAACAAGGATCAACCAGAAGAAGGAGTAACAAGATCATCAATTATTAACTCAATGTATATGCATATTTTTCTGATGTGGGTTGTAATTGTAAAAACCTTAAGATTTCTTACACATTGTATATCTTAGAAATCTTAAGAGTTTTAGGTCTTTGTTATGGTGATTTCCCGTACCTATGATAGTTGTATCATGTGCACCTTGTTCTCTATTCTGCTGAGCTTGTTCAGCAGTTTAGATAAAAGTCTTGTGTCATTGGGATACAAGTAAGGAAGTCTCGAGCCGAGATGCTTAAGCCACGTACGTCTCTTACTATGTGTTTGAGTTGTGAAAGTCTTAATCAAGTTGATTAATTGAGCAGAAGTCTTGTATCATTGGAATACAAATAAGGAAGTCTCGAGCCTTTCTAGATAATCTGACAGATACTGATTGGTGAAGACCAATAGTTGAATATCTAGAGAATCCAACAGGGTCGACTTATCGAAAGGTAAAACATAAGTCTCTAAGCTATATTATCTTAGGGATAAAATAGTTTTAAAAGACACCTGAAGGCATCTTTCTCATGTGTCTTAGCGAAAGTGAGGCATATTTAATAGTATTAAATATCTGTGGTGGAGCCTGTGACGCCCATCAAGTCGAACGCAACATGAGATGGTTATTATTTCGACAAGGTGTTTACTGACCCACAATATTAATGGGTTATATTGAATTTGCAAGGAATGTTGAAATTCTGGTATGTAGATCTCAGATGTTCCAAGAGATGTCGAGACATTGATCTCTGCTTAAATAAACAAGGACAAAATAAAAATATTCTGATATCATAAAGCCATAACAATGCCATGATATATGTTTCAACATCTGTTTGAACATATATTTAAGAGTATAAGAATAATTGAAATATACAACAAAATGATAAATAACACCAAGATATGATGAGCCAGTTCGGTGTAGAACAACACATACATATGAGGGCTACCAAGTCAGGAATGAATTCACTATTAGTAGTATTAATTCAGAGCTAAACAACCTCTGGTTTACAACTCCTCACTTAATCCCTACCTAGTGCAACTTCTACCTAGAAACCCATCTAGATAAGAGAAACTCATCTCAATTCCTAAATCACATCAGTGATATCTAACAGTCACAATTTCCTGTGACTATATCAAACTGTTCAATTGAAAAACACTCATTTCAATACAATATTTAGTCAATACTCGTGACTAACACTAATACTTGAATTTACTTAAAAGCTTCATCCATGAACAATATACAATTCATTACCTACAGGTTTTTGAATATGAAAACTATGTCTACCACAATGTATCAAATCTGATACAAAGGGTGACTTACAATACAAGAAAGTCACACGACTCTCAAAACCCTAAACCCTTATTTTTACTTTACAAAAGTCTTAACAAGGATTCGTCTTTTGCTCTAGGTCTCGGTCTTCCTTTTATAATTTTCAACAGTCCATGTCTTTAAAATCTCTGTCCAGTCATTCCTTGATCCATGTTTTGATTGCACCTTAAATCTTGGAACATATCTGCAACAAACCTACTGTATCAGACCAAGATGTCGAGTCCTCGAGATATGACATATTGTCTGACATGTTGTTCTTTACAGATTACTTCATGTTAGAACATATTGTTCAATATCATATTTTACCAAAGTTTGGTCAAATCTTAGAGCCTTCAATCTCCCATTTTTGACAAATTTTGGCTAAAACTCCTTTTACACAATAAACCCAAGAAATAAAGGAGTAAAGTGAGTAGAAAGTCCTAAAGTTATTTCAGCCAGCCTATGATGAGTTTATTAGAAAATAATGTGACTTTAGGAAGCTTTCATTCTTCCTGTACATCATACACCACCTCTTGTACGACGTGTACCCTAAACCTTGGTGTACATGAGAAAGAAGATGCAAGACACTCCCCCTTAAAACCAGTCCCAAATTACCACCTTCCATTATCCAGATCAGGGCTTAGAGGACCAGACTCCAGTTCCAGATAACTCAGAACACAGGACACAACTGTGTTCATAACTCAGATCACTAGACACAAAAAAAGACTAAGAACAAAAGGAACTAAGTCACAAATAGGATGTTAGAGCATCATATCCAACATCCTTGCAAAACAACTGCAAGAACAGACTCAGATCACACAATAAGATCAGTCATGTGTTGCAAGGAACAACACACAACTGAGATAAACACACAACCTATCTATCCCTTTTTAGCCAAAAATTGACAAAGATGTCCAAAACAGTTCCATACCCAAATAGTACTCACCCAAACCCGGACGAAAGCCATAAAAACTCGACACAGACAAAGAAACACAGCCTGAGACAAAAGAAGCAAGGACCCTCTTTAAATACCCGAGCAGTTTCCTTAGGAATTAATGAGCCATTGAAATAACCAAAAGACAATTCAATGAAAGAGTAAGTTGAGTAAGGTAACTTCAACATAAATGAATGTGCACCGGCCAACTCAGTTTTGACTGTTTCTTCTTTAATGAAAATCGTCCAAAGACTATGCATGTGCCAAGGAAACATGTTTTACACGCCTTCTTTAAGGCACATTTTCATCGTCCAAGTAACACCGTCCATATAGAGCCATGAGTCCTAAACAATATTCTGGCACCTAGTCAGTCATTGTCTACTCTCTCTTGTAAATTTTGACGCATAGTCACAATACCTTCCAATGAACTCTAAGCATACTTCTTTCTACCATAATTAGAAGACCCTAACCATGATGTCAAAATAGTGTGTGTTACATCTCCCATTTAACAACAAAAGCTTCCATGGACCTTATCCCAATCTGCAGAGAAAATAAATTCTCCTAGACAATTTTAATCCTATTTCTCAGGTGTCGCACCCTAAATTTTACCCTTAGATCAGTGATCATTTTCGCATTTCATTTTAGTACATCTTTCATTATAGATAACCATTAACCAGTTTGCTCAGTTGTTCATTTTGCAGGTGAGTCGAAAGTGGTCTCGTGTGTCCATCAAGTCAGGTTGAATTCACAGGGATATAAAGACCTTAAGAATTTACAGATTTGTCCTCGATATTGGTCTGGGCCTCGATATGAGGATTCACATCTCGGTTGTCAAGATTTAGAATTTAATGTAATCAAGATTCTAAGCTTCAAAGGTTCA